GTGTGATTCCATTTATTTATCTTACTTTCTCAAAAAAAAATTATCGGAACAGAATTAGTGGTTCCCAGGGTTCAAGAGGTGAGTGGGGGGACAGGGTTGGAATGCGGTGGAGGAGACCATAAAAGGGAACTGGGACGGAGGCCTTTGTGGGACGGAACGTTCTGTATCTTGATTGTGGTGGCGGCTACATGAATCTACACATGTGAGAAAATGACAGAGGCACAGGTTCCTCACTATCTGAAAGTGGAGGTTCCTATGGAACCTTTTGAAGCCGAAATGGCATAAAGCTAAGAAGCAATTACCATTAATTTACATAGGAAACGTTTTGCATGTTCACACCCCCCCCCTCCCCACCCCCAAATAACCTGCCAACCTACTAAACACACTTAATTACGTTCAGTTTCATGCCAACGATAACATCTTTATGAGCTCTCTTATTTCTGTTAACGTAGGACCCATCTTGCTAACAAAATCAATGGCAATAAAGCCCAGATGTGCCCAGACTCAGCTCAGAGCTCTGGGCTGGGTGCTGAGATGCTGAGGGTGGTTCCTGGGCAGGAGCTTGGTGGCAGGACCACTCTTGCTGCTGGGGTTCCACTGCCTCTACCGGCTGCTGCAAACTAGCACCGAGCGCTATTTTTGCCTTTTTCATAGGAGCAAAAATCCTCTTCAGATTTCTCTCGGTTAATGAAAACAGATACCGAGGTAGGTCTTTCGTCAAGTGAAAATATAGGCACATATACCTATGCAGACACATCTTACCGCCTCAGTTTCCTGGTTTGAAATTGTCACTAGCCTTATGACAGATGTAACTATGCGGGACACTGGATGAAGGGTGGGAGACCTTCCTGAACTAACTTTGCAACTGCCTATGGATCTATAATTACTGCAAAGTCAAAAGTTTAAAATGTGAATTTTAACGTTAAAGACTCTAAAATAAGGCCACTTAGACAAAGACCTTGTGAGAGCAGGTTGCAGGGAGCAGAGCGGCTAGGGAACACTAAGGCTCCCCTGGACCCTCTGCCATCCTAAGTCTGTCATCATCCAGAAATACAAGAGCAGCCACTGTCTAGGCAGCAGGGGTGGCACAGGGCGGAGGGGTCTGAGGAGCGGAGTTGGGGCCTCAGGGTGCCCCTTGTTTATAATTCTGCTGTCCTCACTCCCCTGGGAACACCCTGGACACCGGCCCTGCTCTCCAGACTTCACAGTGGGCAGTTAGGAGACAGTGGCTGGAGGGACATGTGCCTGCAGACGCCACCCATGTCTGCTCTTTGCCACCCATGTCTGCATCTGAAGCCAGGTTATGGATTTTGCTTCTTCTGCCTCCCTTTGCTGGCCTGAGCTCCCAGTTTTAGACCCTCTTCTTTAGACTCATGGTCTTAGAAAAACATACCGTCTGTGATGCCTTGCGCCCTATGACAGAGAATCCACCGGGACCCCTAGGTCTGGTGCTCTGCGGTCTGCCCAGTGGGCGGCAGTGGGCAGCACGGCCAGCAGACCAGGGTCAGAGAGGCGCTTCTACTGACTGACTCGGCACTTTCCTCTCCAGCCCAGCCAGTCTTCTGCTCCATGGGGTCAAGAATCAGCCACTCACCTCAACGTTCTCCCCTCCTCTCCTAGTTACCTCCTCTTTCTCTCCCCAGATGTGAGACACACATGATTCTATATCCTGTGCTAGGAAGGCTTATTTAAGGAAAAAGCCAGTGCAAAGCAGCATGTACAGAATAACCCAACTAGATGCGTCCATGTGTACAGTGGTCCCCTCTTATCTGCCGGGGGCCACAGTCCAAGTCCCTGAGTGAATGCCTGAGACCTCGGACAGGACAGCTCCAAACCACACACACACACACACACACACACACACACACACTTCTATGATAAAGTTTAATTTATAAATAGGTGCAGTAACAGATTACCAACAATAACTAGTAATAAATCAGAACAATTATAACAATGTACTGTAATAAACTCGATCTCTCTCTTTCAGCAACTAGCATGAAATTCTTTTTCCTTCTTCACAACTTCACAGACAAAAGACTCATGCTTACCGTAGATTTAGCAACCTCAGCATGATTTTTTTTTTCTTTCCTTATTAGAGAACTTTGATCTTTTCACTTAAAGGAAGCACTTTATGGCTTCTCTTTGGCATATCCGAATTGCCAGCATCATTACCCTTGTGGTTTGGGGCCATTCTTATGTAAAACAAGGGTCCTGAACACACTGTGATACTGTGACCACTGATCTGATAACCAAGGCTGCCGCAGCAGGCGGGAAGTGTCTACAGTGCGGAGACACTGGACAAAGGAATGGTTCTCATCCTGGACTGGACAGAACGGACAGCGGGAGATTTCATTACACTATGCAGATTGGTACACAATTTAAAACTTATGAATTATTTCTGGATTTTCTATTTAATATTTTCTATTTAAATTTTCTATTTAATATTTTCAGGTCACGGTTGATCATGGGTAACTAAAGCCATAGAAAGCAAAACTATGGGTAAAGGAGGACTACTGTATGTATATGAATATATATATGTGTATGAGTTATATTTCTTTCTGTGTTTTCTAAGTTTTCAACAGTGAATAAGGATTACTGTGAAGGAAAAATAAAGTTGTAATGAAGAAACATTAGACAGGCCAAATGGAGGGACATTGTACAAGACAACTGATCCAAAGTCTTCAAAAGTGTTAAAACAAAAACTGAAGAATTACTCCAGATTAAAGAAGGAAAGGAGACATGACAACTAAATGCAATGTGGAATCCTGGACTGGATCCCGGGCCAGAGAAATGACATCAGAGGGAAATCCGCTCAATTTCAGTAGGTCTACAGGGCAGTTGATACATAGCAGCAATGCGAACTTACTAATTTTTTAAAAATATATTTTTATTGATTTCAGAGAGGGAGAGGGAGAGATAGAATCATCAATGATGAGAGTCATTGATCAGCTGCCTCTTGCACGCCCCCTACTGGGGATCGAGCCCACAACTGGGACATGTGGCCTTGACCAGAATCAAACCCGGGACCCTCCAGTCCACAGGCTGATGTTCTATCCACTGAGCCAAACCAGAGAGGGCCATTGAGTTACTAATTTTGATAGTTGTACTACAAAAGAGGCCTCAGGAGAGGCTGAGAAAAGAGTATATGGGAATCTCTGTATTATTAACAGCAGTTTTGCTATAAACCTGAAATTTCAAAGGAAATATAAATGCATAAAATTGAACCACCGACAATATCCCGCCACTTAAGATATTGATGACCCAGAGCCCAGCAGAGCCACACACTTTACTCCTCCAGGAATTCCACTTGCAGGAGCCGGCATCCTGGGAGCAGGTACCAAGAGATGTCCCCACTCACCCACCCACCCACCCACCTGACATGTTTATTGATTTTAGAAAGAGAAGTAAGGGGAGGAGAGAGAGTGAGAGAGAGAAAGACTAGCTACCTCGCCCCCTCCCCTCCCCTTCCTGCATGTGCCCGACCAGGAACCAGGAATAGAAACTGGAAACCCTTTTTGGCTTATGGGAGGGCACTCCAACCAACTGAGCCACCCAGTCGGGGCTCACGTAAGTGCTTTCTTGATTCTAGAAGCCCCTTCCCTCCAGTCTCCTGCCTGTTGGTCTCTCCTGTTGGTCTCTGGACCTTTCTCTCTTCGTCTCCCTGTGCCCCCACTAAAAATCTAGACTATCATTTGAGGTGCAAATTCACAGGCCTGGGCTCCTGGACTTGACCAGGTCAGACGGCTTCTCCTAGTTGGTGCCACAGCCCTGTCTGGTCACTCCTTGAGCACAGTGTGACTGCTGGAGAAATGCTCACAGTCTCCCTCCCGCAGCCAGGGACCTGGGAAGGCGGCGTCACCCGTGGCCTGCCTGATGGACACAAACCCTGTGATCGAGTCAACCACAATCCTGGCAATTCAAGTGGTTGTTCTGAGGTGAGGACACACCCAGGTCCTGGCACAGAGAACTTGCAAGAGCACTAAGGTGTCACCAGCCTGGCAGGTTGCCCATGCTTGTGTCCTGGGGCTGGTGGGGGTGGGAGGGAGCGGGGGGTAGGCTGGGCAGAAACCTGCCTCTTGGGTGAGGTTTCAGCTGGAGCCACCTGAATGGTGGGCCTGCCCTACCTCGGTCCCTTTCTGGGTGCCCTTTAACCAGTTTGAAAAAGGACTCTCAGTCGGGCCAGCTTTCCAAGCCGAGGACGAGAGTGAGAGGGCTGGCCAGGTCTAGCTGGAAGTTGGCACCGCTTCCTCGCTTTCCCTCCCTGCCTGGGCAGGGCTGCCTGCCTGGCTCAGAGCTGCCAAGGAAGTACCCCCACAAGCCAGGCATTTCAGGAGTCGGGAGAACAAGCTCCCTTGCCCTGGTTTGTCCACCAGATTGAGTGCCCGCGTCAGCGGAGGGGCATGATGACAGCGGCTCCGAGGGGACCAGCTCAGTGGACACTGTGTGCAGAACACGCCAGGGTCTGGCAGAAATTGGAGCACAGTTCAGCCATGGGCACCCCAGAGTCACCACTGGGGTGAGGGTTCTCGTGGGCAGCACGGGTGGCTCACCCGACTAGTTTACGGCCACGGTTGTCATAAGCTGCCTCCTCTGGGGCGTCCACCCAAGTCCAGGGTCACCCTCAGCTGACTTGACAAGAAGGCACTGGCAGACCTCTCAGGAGGCGAGGCGAGTCCCCGTTTGGAACTTTAGAAAGGTGGTTCGGAAAAAGAGCCCATAAAATAAAAGTCCGTTTCCAAAACTCTCCTGAAGATCCACAATATTCTAGCAGCCCCCCTGCCCCTCCCCTCCTCCCCCATCACCACCCGCGGTGGGGGAGGAGGAAACCCACCCGCGCTGCGGGTCGAGGGGAGCGCAGGCGGCCGTGGAGAGTAACCCGGCGCCCGAGGAGCGATCGGGAGAAACAGCTCCGGCGGGTCCCCCTTCTCCTCCGCGACCCCCAGGGGGGAGGGCCCCCGCTCCCGCGGGTCCTCGCCGTCTGTCCGCGGCGCGGTACTCACCAGCTCCGGCAGGAAGAAGGCGAAGGGGATGGTGAGGAACAGCGCGAGCCCCGAGGGCACGTCGGGTGGCGCGTGGCTGGTGGGGGGCGGTGGGCCTGGGGCGGCCATGCTCGCACCCTGCTTGGCTCCCGGTTCCCTTCCGGGCTCCTGGCTCCTGGCTCCTGGCTCCTGGCTCCCGACTCCTAAGCCGCTGTCCGGGCCGCAGCCCGTCCAATATCAACGCCTGCCCGACACACCCATCGGACGTCGCCTGGGAGGGACAGAACGGTTCCCGCCGAGCAGGTCCTTCCACTCGCTGCGCCAGAAACCCTCAGTGAAAGTCGGCTTGCGCATCCGACGGGCCTCGCCTCCCTAGTCTCTTCCTTCCTAGGAATTTTTGAATCCCGGAGCGTATTACTCCTCACAGCCACCGGGCCCTCCTCAAACCCCCCCCCCCCCCCCAACTCTGTGCCCAGACTATAGGCTAAGGCTGCTTACCATGGCAGAGACAGTTGATTTAGGACCTGCTGTGAGCCAAGCGATCTGCAGAGCTCTCCATACTCCCCGCAGCCCTGCCCCGGACTGGTTAACTCCCTTTCCAGAATCTGCTAGGACACCAAGAATCTGCTAGGTCATGTCAGATTCTGACATGCTGGGTCTCACATCTATCTGCCCCTGTTCCCTCCGTCTCCCTCCACCCCCTCCCCAGGCCACCCTCAGCCTCAAACCAAAGGGAGAGAAGCAGCCCTCACTTCCAGCTCCCTCCCCAGGGACTTGGTGCTTCCTTCTTCCTCCGCACCCTCTTTTTGACCCTCCTCTCTCTTTTCCCAGCACAGTATAAGGAGGAGACCCCTGTCTTGGGGAGAAATCTGCCCCAGCAGGCACCCCAGAATGGCCCAGCTTGAGGGGTGCTGCCCCAAGCCCCAGCTCTCCTCCCTCCCCATCCTGGCTCTCCAGCCAGTGAGGCCAGGAGCCAGGCTTTGGGCCAAGCAGTTCCTTCCTGCCTCCTCCTGCCTGCTGGCCAGCACAGGGACCCTGAGGGGAGAAATGCCTTATGTCTTCTGTGCTCCAGTAATAAGATGTCCTCCTCAGGAGACCAGTGCCTGCTCCTCAGCAAAAGCAGTGCCTTTCAGGCCCGCCCAACCTGGCACAGATGGTGGGTGGGCCTTTGATTGGGCTGGGGAGAGAGGGGCATTTCTCCCCTTATCCCTCCACACCAGGGCTGAGGCTGAGGCCATGAGGTCAGGGAGAAGGGACCCAACCCAGGCAGCCAGCAAACTCTGGGTGCCAGGGCTTTCAGCAGGCGGTTGGTTCTAGGTAGAGAGGAAAGGGCTCATCTCCACATGTAGTGAAAGCAGTTGCCTGGCTGCCAGGTCACGGTCCCTGTGCTGGCCAGCAGGCAGGAGGCGGGGCGGGAACAGGGGTTAGAAAAAACAAAGCCCAAAGCAAAGGCCTTGCAAGGAGAGGCAACAGGCCCACTGAGTGAACCTCAAAGCAGCCTGGTGCCCCCTTCTCCCAGGCCTTCAGAGATCCAGGGAGGACCTGAGTCCAGGACCACCTGCCTGGGCCTCACCTTGGTCGCACAGTGATCGCATAGCAGGCATTGCTGAGGAGTCTCACCGGTGTCTCCTCTCCTGAATGTTGTAATAAACCCTGTGCCACCCTTATGGGCTGTAGGGTCTGTTGACCTGGCCACGGACTGTGTGGCACAGTGGGAACAGCTGAAGGGAAAGCTGAAAGGAAAGCCTTTCTTGGGCTCATCTGTCATCTGTGGAGCAGGGGTAATAATAGGACTGGAGCTTCTGAGAGGCCAGCAGGGCCCACGTCCCTTCTGCCTCCTGAGGCACTAAGTGTAGTAAGAAATGAAGATGTCACCAAACAAGGGCATACAAAATGTGGCATATTTTAAACATTTCCATTTAATCAAGTGATGGTTTTATTATATTCAGCGAAGTATAGCACACTCTCCTTAAGCTACTTATAAGAAAACTATATAATTCACAAGGCACTTCAGGCAGTAAGATTCCAGAAGAGATGGAAGTTAGAGCTGTAAGAGCATCTTCGCCTTCCAGAACAATCCAGGTATCTCAGGGGCTGAGGCATGAATGCTCTTGGACACAAGGTCAGAGTCTCCCAAGAGAAGAGGCAGGGCCTCTACACAGCAGTCCCTGGTTTCCACCTCATGGCACGGAGAATTGGAGTTAATCCTGAGCACCACTCCAACATTACTTGATCACGATCATTGTCTCCATTTTCTCGTTTGTTAATTGGGGCAGGTTAAATGAGATGATGTATATGAAAACCTGTAAGACATTTCTAGCATATGGCAAATACTTCATAAGTACTTGTTTACCTAATTCTAATCTTAAACCACTTCTCTCCTGGCTCTCTTTCTTCCCACAGCAAGATCAGCACCCCCCTGTTAATACTTCTGTGCTAATTTTTAAATTTCAATTTTTTTTCTCAAAATTCATACTGATTTATAATACACTTACAGAAAAGTGCACAAAACATACAGACCATGAAACTACCACCCAGAGCAAGAAACGGAACACTGCCCTGGCGGGTGGCTCAGTTGGTTGGGGTGTCGTCCCATGCACCAAAAGGTTGTGGGTTCAATTCCCAATCAGTGCACATACCTAGGTGCATGTTTGATCCCCAGTGGGGGCGGGGGGTAACCGATCGATGTTTCTCTCACATAGATGTTTCTCTTTCTCTTTCCCTCCTCTCTTTCTACAAATCAATTAAAACATATCCTTGGGTGAGGATTATAAAAAGAAATAGAACATTGCCAGGCTCCTCCCAATCATTTCTCTCACCCTCCTCAAAACACCTGTTCTCCTGATGTCTAATCACATAGGCTGATTTTTGTCTGTTTCTGAGTGGGTTCCTTTGTGTCTGGCTTGTCTCACTCAACATGATGCTGCAAAACTCATTCATGCCCTTGTGGGCTGCTCCCTGCTGCATGGTACTCCATTGTATGGATATACTACACTTTATCCATTTTATTGTTTATAGACTCAAGTTTTTACAATTTTGTGTTATAACATGGCCAGGAACATTCTAGAACAAGTCCTTTGGTGCACCTGCGTGTACATTTCTTTTCATTTTTTGTTAATCCTCATCCGAGGATATTTTTCCATTGATTTTTAGAGGAAGTGGAAGGGAGAGGGAGAGACAGAGAGAAACTTTGATGTGAGACACATCAATTGGTTGCCTCCTGCACACACCCAGATCAGGGCCAGGGAACCTGCAACCAAGGTACGTGCCCTTGACCAGGTGCATTTTTCCACCCTTTTACTTTTAACTTATCCATGTAACTATAATGTTTTTTGGTGTTTTTTATGTGTGTAGTTATAAATATACTTGGGTTTTTCCCCCACCTCCCACTCCCAATCCTCCTGAAATTTGCTGCCTTTAATTGGTATGTTTAGACCATTTACATTTAATGTAATTATTGATAAGTTTAGATTTAGGCCTATCATTTTATTTATTTATTTATTTTTGTTTTCATTTGTTTGCTGTTCATTTCTTCTTTCCTGCATGCTTTTGAATTTTTTGAATAATTTTAGTGTTCCATTTTAATTCATCTATTGAGTTTTTGACTATGTCTCAACATTGTTTAGACTTTAGAACCTACTCTAGGAGTTACAATATACATAGTTAACTTTCCGGTCTACTCAGAATGAATATTTTGCCACTTCAAATAGAATGCAGAAACCTTATAACCATATGGGTCCCTCTACCTTTTTGCTTTCCAGGTATGTAGTTGTCATGTGTAATATATATATACGTGTGTGTATATATATATGTATATATATATATATGAATATATATAAATACATGTATTGAAAACCCCACCAAACAATATAATAATTTTTGCTTTCAACCATCATAACTATTTTAAATAACTAAGAGAAAAATCATCTATTCATTTACCCAGATATTTACCATTTCCGTTGCTGTTCCTTCATTCCTAATGTTCTAGCCTTCCCTCTGGTATCATTTCCCTTCTGTTTGAAGAGCTTCCTGTTGACAATGAATTCTTAGTTTTTCATTGGAGAATGTCTTTTGCAGCATTTTTATTGAGGTATAATTGACTTCAACATTAGTTTCATGTATACAACATTATTATTAAAAATTTGTATATATTGTGAAATGGTCACCACACAATTAGAGAATGTTTTTGTGTGTGATGAGAACTTTTAAGTTCACGCTCTTGGCAACTTTTAACTATGCAATAATAGTATTATTAACTATAGTCACTATGCTCTACATAATGAAATATGTGTTGCTTCACAAACTTGTGTGTTACCTTTGTGTGGGGCCAGACTACCTTTCCCAGCATTGTTCTAATTTTAGCTTGCGTGCTGCCTAAGTGAGCACAATCTGATACTGTCTTTATTTCACCTTTACTCCTCAAGAATATTTTTTACAGAATATAGAGTTCTGGGTTGACAGTTTTTTGTTGTTGTTGTTTTTTGTTTTGTTTTGGTCCTCCTCTGCCCCTTTTACTCAGAACTTTAAAAATGCTCTACTGGCCCTGGCCAGTGTGGCTCGGTTGATTGAGCCTCATCCCTGCCTGAAAGATTGCTGGTTAAATTCCCAGTCAGGGCACATGCCCAGGTTTCAGGTTTGATCCCCAGTCAGGGTATGTTTGGAGGTAGCCAATTAATGTTACACTCTCACATCTATGTTTCTCTCTCTCTCCCTCTCTCCCACTCCCTTCCTTTCTCTCTAAAATCAATAAAAGCATATTTAAATGCAAAAAATAAAAATGTTCTACTGCCTTCTGATTTCTGGTTTCTGAAGAGAAACTCACAGTCATGCTATTATTGTTCCTTATATTTAATGCATTGTTTTTCTCAGGCTTTCAAGATATTTTCTTTGTAGTTTATGATATGGTGGGCATGGATTTTCATGACCTTATTTTGTTTGGTGCCCCATGATCTTCTTGAGTCAGTAACTTTATATCTTTCATCAAATTTAAAAAGTTTTTAACCATTATTTAAAAAAAAATTTTTTTTTTGTACTAAGTTCTTTCTCTCCCCTACTGAGATTCTGATGACAAGAAAGTTAGGCCTTTGGCTATGGTCCCACAGGTTCCTGAGGCTTTGTTTTTCAACCTATTTCCTTTCTGTTGTTCAAATGGACCATTTATATTGATCCATAGGCTGGTTTATATTGACCTACCCATATGGAACTATTTAATTATCTGAAAATTCACTGACTCTATCATCTGCTTTCTGTTACTGAGTTCATCCAATGACTGTTTTAATTTTGGTTATTGTATTTTTTATTTTTATTTATTTATTTATTTATTTATTTATTTATTTATTTTTGTTAATCCTCATCCGAGGATATTTTTCCATTGATTTTTAGAGAGAGTGGAAGGGAGGGGAAGAGACACACAGAG